TTCCCTTTTGTATTGGGGTCTAGACTGTGCCCAATCTGGCCTACCGAATCTCTATTCCACTTTTTAAATCTCTAGTGTATCTTGCCAATCCTGCTTCATTGTCCCTATCGCCTCCTGAGTTAGTGCATGGACAGGTATCTATGACTCAGAGGCTACAACTACTACACACCTTTTTGGCTGTAACTCATTACGACCCAGAAGGGAGGAGAAAAAAAAAAAAAGAATAAAACATCCTGTTCAGAAATAGCGCCAATGGTAAGACGTAGAAGAAAGGTAAGGCTTCTGACAGCCCCTTCCATTATCCTCTGTTAAGAAAAAAATCCACAACCTATATACAGTTTGTAGTTTCTATAAGCTCTATAGACTTCTAGTTTTTCAGCTAAATGTTTTTTAATCCTAAAAGAGATGGAGCTAAGCTACTGATATGAAACAGAAGGCCAGAGTTCTTCTACCCTATATTTACATGGGAAAATTTGCTCTTTGATGAAAACCTCTGGGAAAAGCTTACAGTAGGCATGGTGGAGTGCGGGGTGGTTCTCTCCTTCTGTTCTCAGTCGGTGAGTTAGCTGAAATGCACACTTCAAGCATGGCGTGAGAACACTGTGCTGACAGAGAACCCAAAGTCTGGATGGTCTAAAAATGCAAGAGGGCTCATCTCTTGTGGCTACTGAGTATCTCACTGTTTTTGTATTTTTTTTAAATACATAAATCAATCTGTTTCCTTCCCGCTAACTACTTTCCACCAGCCTAAATTCATGCCCCATATTCATTTGGATATAGTGCTTTCCACTAATGAAGAATATTTAACAGCATCTTGATTTCTGAATTTCACTTGTGACATGACTACACCTAAACTGAATTCATTTGACACTCATGAACTCTAAAGCAGAAAACAAATTTCTATCATACACCTACGCGTATGGACACACTCCACTTTTTTCTTTCTTACATTTACTTCTGAGGTATGAAGCTAGCCTTACTGTTTTTCTTTCTTATATTTTTCTGTTTCCCTTTTGACATCTGAAATATCACAAGGGTTTTCGTTTTGCTAGGTCACCCCAACAGCAGCATGATAAGACTGTAACCTGCTTTACAGCTCTTCATCTCTTCTGCTGTGGGGAGGGCACACTGATTTTTACAGCATAAAAAGAAAACTTGTCAAGGGCCTCCAGAATATAAAGAGAAAACAGAGGGCTTAGTATTTCTAAGGCCAAAAAACAGCAGAAAAACACAGCTGAAAGTACCCTCATAGGTATAAAGAAATAGTAAAGTAAAATTATTTTTTTCACAATGCTTTAGAGTTCACCTGTGATTCGTGAGTGTGAAAGTATTTGGGTCTGTCCTTCAGAAACTCCCCACAGGTCTTCAGAAAGACATAATACCATGACTAAATTTTCTAGTCTGCTCTGAATTTCAGACCCTTGCCAAATACCTTCACTGCTTACCTTCCCAGGGAGGACTGCCTTTCAAATTATGACACCTTTTTTTGTGGCAGAAGCTAAGGGTCCTTGGAGAGTGACTGTGTTTGGCAGACAAACCACAGCACTGTAAGGACAGACAGATATTATTCTGGCACAAGACTGTCAAGTTAGGCTTCTCTCAAGAGAAGTTTCCTCCAACAGCCTAATGTTAAACGACGTCACTGTTCCATCTGAAAGTTTCAATGTTTTCCAAAAGAGGAACAGTAAAACTGAAGGAAGCAGGAAACAATTTGGCTGATCGTTAGTGTTTGTGGGTTGTGCCTCATTAGGCAGCTTAGGGGTGTGATCTCTACTCTTAACCAATAATATCCACAGAGCTTCTGACTGATACCCACACACAGACATTTTTCTTCAAAGCCTTATTTAATGGTGGCTGCTATAGCAGGGTCATCGGCTCTTTAAAGATAAGCTAGAATCAAGCTTTAAAAGTCTTAGCTGATGAATGAGCAGATCTCCCACAATGCAAGAATGATAAGCTCTTACAAGCTTTCTCCAGAAAACGTAGCAGTTGTGTCCAGTGCTTCCCTCTGCTGCTGCTGCATATTCCCATGGCCTTGGTAGAACCACTGACTCTTAGATCCTTTTTGATACCATGGGACATGTCTTCATAAGGCAGGGGAAAGCATGCAGGCACATTTTTATTAAAAAATTTTATAAAAACTCATACTTTCTTCTAGAATGTATGCTTGCTCCTACATACATTAATTTTCCTCTTTCTCTATTGACTTGTATGTTTTAACATAAAGCCAGTTGTGCTGTATCATCTCTTCAAGATATACGTGGTAAGCAGTGTACACCAGGTGGATTTAGAGACAAATAAAGGATCTAAAACCTGACTTTTATCTGCTCCTTTAACTTCCAACAGTACTCGAAGAAACACTTCCCACCTACCCTTTCTATTTTTTGTAGCAAGGACAATCATTATCAGAAATGAAGATGATTCCTAAGGCAGAACAAGCACGACTGGCAATTACAACAGTCATTTTGGGACTTGATGTTTCCAGTTTGAGTCCCACATACCAAAAAAGTCCCTCTTCCCAGTGCTTGTCCAAACCACTCAGCTTTCTCCAATAGCTCCATCAATGGGCAAAAGAAGGTACCACAAGGAAATGTTGTTACCAGCACTTGCTTTCTTCATCCTCTCTCTTTAAAACTTATTTTAAACCTTTTCCACGCGACTTCCTCCCTAACAACATATTCAAATACACTGAAACTTAAACATAACGCCATTGACGGGTTTCAGACAGCCCCTAAGAAAGGAAGACAGGGCAGAACAGGAACAGATGGTATCACCACATTGATTTTGCAAAGGGGTTGTGAAGAGAAAAAGCGGTGCAACCAGCCTAGGCTGTGGTACTGTGCGAGTGAGTTTAAACAGATAAACATCAAAGGAACCCATCTGGCCTTGAAGTGGAATCTCTGGCTTGAGACTGTTACTATTTAACAGAGACCTTGGGGTCTTGGCCATGTTTATTATGCAATCCCACCCCAGTTACATTTTTTGTTCACCATCTAGTGACGGAGAGCTGCTGGAGGCAAGAGCAGACAGAAGAGCTGAGAGCTGCAGCTTCTATCATGGGCAAGGGAATTAATTTCAGTTTGAATATTATCTTGCTGATTAACTACCCTAGTAGGAAATTTGAAAAGGACTGTACTTAAACTAGATATAATGCTTCCCTGTGATTTCTGGAGCCCTGCTCTTTCACATTCCAATTGCAGAAGCGGAGGTAACGTGTCCTCTCTTCAAAAAGTCTTTTTCCCATAAAAATGAAAAGGGAATAATAAACACATTCACAGGATTCTCTTCTCCAGTCTTGCTTCAACTTAAGCAGCAATTCCAAAGCATATGAGATATCTGCGGGCATTCAAAGGCAGAACCAGCTATGGAATTGGACATCAATGCCAGAGAAATAGTTGGGGATTTTCCAATTTCCAATTACTAATTTGCTGTGGGGTCCTCTGGCTGCGGGCAAGAACGAAGGAGAAAGACAACTGGGCACTGCCATAAGGAGAAGCATTACGCCCACATGGAGACACAGAGGTCTTGGGACTAAGAATAGGTTCCAGCTTGTCCTCCCTCCCCTTCACTAGGAATTCTCCTTCCACCCACTTTTCCCCATGATGATGGAAAGTTGGAGGGACTGGATAGCACACAGCAGTTTGCTGATACAATATTTTGAGGCCACCATAAAAATGGTCAATAAGCTACATGGACTTTGGTATTGAGCAGAAATTATGAGGGGGTTTTGATGACTGAGAGTGTCCCTTTTGATGCTTTTCCTAGGAGCTGATGCATGGTTTCCTTGGTAAAGAGGTGAAAAGACTGCAAGTTTTTGTGGGCGATGAAACTCTTTAACAATGGAGTGGTGGGAGGATGGGACAAATTACTCAGGCGAAGAAATACTTGTTCTCTTTGTCTTCAGGGGCAGATTATCCTTCACCTCTTCCCTTCAACAATCACAATGCAAACCCCTCGCTTATCTCTTATCCTTAGGTAGAAAAAGCAGAAGGTGTTTTATTTTGCTTTTATTTCAATAAATTAAATGCCAAGTTTGAAAATCACAGAAAGGAATATGGGGACTACAAAGATTGCAGCTCAAAGTGGCAATTTGATCTACGATAGTAAAATCAGTCTTTAAAAAGGTTAAAACATTAAAAGGGTCAAAATCAAAACTCTTGAAATCACCAGAAGAACAGTGCAATTGAACTGAAGAACTTATTTTTGTTTGTGAAGTATGAAAACCTGGGATTTAAATTTTTCATCCATCTTTGAGAATGAGAATCAGTAAAAGTTCACAAGATGGCAGAATTTATTCGTCATCCAACTCTAATCTCAATTAAAGGATCCCACCTTGATATTCTTTTTTAATATTCATACAGATTTACAAAGCGATTTTCTTCCAGTTAAGCATATTCAGGCACTTGACTTTGTCCCACAGCCTTGCACTGCCTCCACTTTTTATCCCTGTTCCCAAAGAGCAGTGTCATTTCCATGTCTTGCAAACCATAAAAAGCCTCGGAAAAGGCTAAGCAGCAAGGACTATTGGGCAGAAAATGTGTATCAATGATTGTCAACCCTTAATATTTACCTCAAGGTAAATCATTGCTACAGACTGAAATCGGCATGAATCAAGTAGATACCGGCAGAAGACCAACAAGTCAACTGTATTTTTAGGTTACACAGTAAAACTTCCTAAAACAAAGTGGAGTCTGTAGGGGGGCTAACACAGCAGGGACCAACGGCCGTTGTAGGAGGAACATGATAGACAGCAACCTCTAACATCATCCATATGTAACGTACCAAGCATTCACCCACCCTCCTGCTCCCAAAGGTTGCCTACGTCCACATGTGTGCAGTGCATTCAAAGACAAAATGTCGGTACTCACCCTACTACCACAATTATAAAATCTAGTAAATTCCAGCCATTGCGGAGGTAAGCGTTGGGGTGAAAGAGAAGTCCATATGCTATTACTTTTAAAAATGCTTCCACTGTAAAAATTATGAGAAAGAGATATTCCACTCGTTCCTGGGGAAGGTAAGAGAACAAGAGAGACAACAGTTAGTGTGAGTTACAAACCACAGAGAAGGATGTTTTCTCCTGCCATGGTCCACCCGTGCAGCCTACAGCTCACTGACTCACCACTTGGGTACACCTAACGTGCATGGATTGCCAGAGGGCTTTTCTCCTCATGCTTGCATCGTCTGCAGCCCCTCTGACACAACAGTGGCAGGAAATCTTGATTAGGCTCTGAAATGTGCTGACTTTGCCTTGGCAGGGACTGACCACTGCACAGGCCCGTGCAAAGGAGGTGGGGAGAGGGTCAACGTGCACCTTCTAGCCCTCAGTTCTCTTCAAAGTACATTGCCAAATATTGTCAGCCACCAGAATGAACTGCATCCAGCCCTTTTCTACCTCTGGAGAGGAAAGATTGCTGGCTGCAATGCTTTGGAGAGAGATGGGGAGAAACAGTGAGGCCCACCTGAGACTGGTACATGTCAAGCTGTGCCTTCTTTGGGATTCCCTTTTCTGTTGCTGGGGAGAAGGTAGGCTGAATATTGGTGAAAAATGATTTACAAATCAGGCTGACTAATGCTAGAGGCTTTTAGTCATTCCATCAGAAACGTACATGTCCCTGAGAAGTGCCGGCTGCAGTTAAGCACATCCAAACAAAGTCACTTCCAGCGACAGTACAGTCTGATTCAGGACAAGCGAGCAGGCTTTTGGAGTCAGTGCACGGGATCACTGTCTCTGATCGGTGGGTTTTAGCCCCCGTGGGGAATAAGAATAGCAGCGTTGCAGAAATGGTAGGGACCTCCACCTAAGTAGGAGGCAGACTGCAGCATTAGGTAATCACTCCAAAAGTGCTGCGTGGCAAGCTAAATGGGACGTGCGTACGTGAGAACCAGACGACAGCAAAGGGAGACTAGGTCCCTACAGTGTTAAGCTACAAAGTTACTAAAAGTTCATGTTAAAGAAATAAAAATCTGAGATAAATACAAATTAAAACATCTTAGGCATCCTAGTCATATCTTATAGGGTACCCAGTAAGACAATCAGATGCGTCACTATATTTTTCTTTTCAGCTCCAAACTGCAATTGCCTTGTTCCTCTGTCCAACCGAATGCACGTATAACACTTTCATATGATACAAAGTGCACAGGATTACAAAAAATCATTCCATCATTTTACCCAGATATCCATCTGAACCTCTTCCATTCAGCTCTAGGTAATTAACAACCCACTATCAACCTGTTGATCAAAAAAGGCAATTCCCTGTGTATCTGTAGGTTTGCATTAACATGTTGTTTTACACAACTGACAAATTCCTTCTGACAGTAGCAGGCATGTGTCTGTGCTTTAAAATACTACAGTTTTAACTCCGACAACACTTTCACAATGCCTGCAGTATTATTCCCCAGTGCGTAACACAGGGAATACCTAAAAAAGAAGTATCATCCTGTAGTTCTCTGATCCATTCATAAAGCTTTTGAATGTGCCCACTGCACAGACTTTCTCCATCGCTATCCCAGATGGAGACAGGTCCGCACACTAGGGATTTCCCTTCCCTTGAACTCAGAGAAGGAAACAACAGCATACAATATTAGTGACTACTACGTCCCCAGCTCTACAAAACAGTAAGTGTATTATTTTCTTTAGCACAGGAATTGGCACAGAAGTGCTAACGATCAAGAGTCCAGCCACGGGTTTGACCACAGAAAAGAGCTCCATAATGGCTTGCACACTTCTAGAAGGGACTAACCTGGCAGCCCTCCTCCCTCCACTGCCACTGATAACCAAACAGGTACTACATTGATGTACAAATCATAGTAAAATAGACCCAAGTGATCAAGCTGTACGCACACACTTGTAAAGCTGTCATGAAACTTCTTAAACAAGCCCCCACCACAAAATCACCGTGCGACGGGAAGGCTTTACGCAGTGTCTAACTGCCCTGCTGCTGTGTGCAGCCCCATGCCTCTGTCAGCACGGTGCGAGGCCAGACGCCAGCCTGCGCAGCAGCCAGATAGCTCTGCCTGGCAGGCATCCCGCTCTGTAAACGGAGACATGGGCTCATGGAGAAATGCTGTAGGGCCTAAAAAAACCAGACATCCCCAAAAGCTTCTCTTGGCAGTCACAGCCGAGACTGGTACCAAGGGGATGCTGAGGAGTCCGCCTTCTCATTTCATAACGCCGGGTCCAGTTTGAAGCAGACGGGCAGAACAATTGAAGAGGAAGGCCTAGAGCTGCCCCCATGCCCAGTGATTTAACTGCAAATGATGCTGGTGACCTCCGGGAGCCCTGGACCAAAGGCTGCTGCCAGCTCTGTGTGTGGCCTTGAGCGGCTCCCGTGGCCACAGCGCTGTGCAGGCCTGCCCGGCCAGAAGAGCCTTTCCACTCCGTGAATTTCGTTGAAACACCTCTACAACGCAATCAGAAGTCCAAGCGAGCAAATGCTTCAGAAAATCCAGGAACAACATTTTTTTAAAGTATTTAATACTGCACAGAGCACCCAGTATTTCAGCTACTAACAGGTTCCATTTCACTGGGCTTAGCAGCCTCGTACCTTTTTGCCTCTAAAGAAGCCTGTGAGACTACAGATTCCAGTTTTGTCATTGTAATAATGCTGCTTGTTCAACCATGTTATTGAGGTAATAATACACCAAAATACTACACACATGCATATATATACCTATACATATACTCATATATATACACACACAACTCCAAGCTGTTTGAATAAATTCCTTACAATGCTCTGCTTAAGGTGGAAAGATCCATAAGAAATAAAATCCTATAAAAGTCTCAGAAATGAACATAAGATACAGAATGCTGAGCAGAAGAGAGAGATTTTATGACCCTCTGCACTTAAATTAATGATTTCAGGATTTAAAACTGAAGGAAAAATGCTGCCAAGAATAAACAGAGCAGCTGCTCCAAGACCATTTCAGGAAGCTACTCCTGCTTAGACTCGAGAAGAATTTGAAAAGCCTTCTGATTAATTTGTGTTCCCTTTTCCCCTTACACTGTAAAACTCCAGACCCTTTATGAGCACGGCATAACTCAGTAATGATGCAGTGCAACCGGGCTCCCAAGAACCTGGGTTGCAGTCCCAGTTCTGATGCCACCTTGCCTGGTGACTTCACAGACATGACTCAACCACCTCCTGCCTCAGATCAGAAATGAGAAGAGGACCTGTTGCCCTCAGCAGCCACAGAATGATTAATTTGCCTCTGCTAAATGTGATGCTTCACTCCTGGCTGCTCATCTGAAGCTTTGCTCTCACAGGTTAGGCAGACTGGGCCCCAGCATTTCAAGCTCACACATGACACTGCACTGCAAAACATCCAAAGACCTGTTCCTCCGAGAAGCTTGTTTGGTGTCATTTTAAAAGAAACCAAGCTAGACAAATATTGGCATTTCTCTTTGAGAGAGCTCCCTGCTGACAGGGAGGGAGGAAGGGAGGAAAGGAGCTGCCCACTGCCTGCGTGGGAGGGAAAGGAGATAGCAACAGCATCGCCCCTTGAAACAAATCCAAACCACAGCATCAAAAGAGAGGGAACTTCTTTTGGAGCTATAAGAAAGAGGGAAAAACGTTTTTTCATCTGTGTTTTAGAAATGGAACCCATGCTGATGTGGCTGAGACAAGTGAGGCATATTGCAGGTTGCAGAATTACAAAGCAGGAGCTTCCTCCTTGGGCAATAGTGATGAAAAGGTTTTGAAAAGCAGAGGAAAAAAACCCAACAATATGTGAGTGGAACAAGAGGAAGGACTAACGTTTTAGAAAACCGGGCAGTCTCTGGACCATACACAGATGTTTTGGGGCTGGCTCTACCACTAGTTTTCTCGGGTTTGTTTTGTTTTTTATAGATATAGGACATCAGCATCAGCTACCCTAGCTGATCAATTAGCCCGCTCTAACACTGCCAAGAAACAAATTGTACATCATCTTACTCTTAACAAAGAAACAAACATTGACTTACTGTTCAGGCTTTAAGATATACTTGCAGAAGAGGATTACTGTATTCTATACGAAACCCCTCTAATCCCATGTGCCTTCTGAAGACGTCACAGATTTGTTTTTGTTTATAATTTTTAAACTGTGCCTAATGACATTCTGGATTCACAAAAGGAGTCTGAAAATAGGAAAGCCAAACAAATACAAACAAATTACTGTAGGGTGCCATAGAGCTTTTGTCCTGTCAGAAGACCAGTGAGTAGACCAGTACTATATCTGAGAAATAGTCCTCAATGATTCACTGTATCTTGATCCTAGCTCTCCAAACTCCACACAGCAGCACTACTAGGTTAGAAAATTTTCTTTGCAAGAGTTACTCAAGGTTTAAACCACAATCAGGTCCTCACATCTCATACAACCAGTCAAAGGAGTTTAAAATCTAAAATTCAATCACTACAGGTTTTCTGAAACTTTGCTGTCTCTCTCTGCTTGCACTCTGCTCAGCTTGTTACAAACCATGTTTCAAAAACTGGATCTTCTACATTTGAAGTAATATGCAGCATGGCCTGCACAGCTAGAACCACCATGAAGCTGCCTGTTTGACCTTAGAAAAATTACGTCAGTGTCTGCATTATTATTCCCTAGTGCTTCCTTAAACATAGGAGAATATATTTCTTCAGTAAGGCAAATACTCAGTAGTCCAAGGAAAACAGCAATATTTTAAGGGCCTCTTGTCATATAGGATATTTTGGCATAAACAGGCTATGAAAGAAACAAGTCAGAATGGAAGCACTCTGACTTTTTCCTGGTAGGGAAAACAATCTTATTTGATGGGCAGTAAGGAGACTAAACTGCAGTGCTGGGAAAGATGGCCTAGAGACTTTATGGAAAAAAGTTCCATGTTTCTGGATTACAAATTATCACCACATCCGAGACACAGATATCCTCACTGTGTGAATATGCTGACCTGAAGGCTAGCGTTAGCATTACCTTGGCCTTCAGTACGGAACAGCCACATAAAGGATCAATTTAACAAAGCAAATGTTAAGACAGGTTTGTTGACACTGA